GTTCTCATTACGTAATATTTCGTCATGGCGAATGATCATGAATCACTCAACTAAAATATTAAGAGAATTGTACCGATTCATCACGTTACTGTGCTCTGACGAAGTATTTGGCTCATGACTTTACGATCCACATACTCCTGCCACCGCAACAAGTCCAAATACTTTGAACAGGCGTATATGAGCGACCAGATACCCCTTCGGGTACAAGACCAAGGGATGTAGACTACGACATCTCACAGAAAGACCATTCCACCTATGCACCTACACGATCTAGAATATCCCCGTCTCCGGGGGTGCCCTCAGTAAAGAGCCTTCGGATCCATAGGGCGAAGCCCTTGGCTTTGGCCCAGAAGACTTTCAAGTTGACAACTTCTAGCACCGAATAGTCGCATTTAATGCTCCACCACGTGCCTGCATCTGCCTCACATCGGTGCTCTCCACTACAGACTAGTCTACGCTTGTATGTGCATTTTATGCACTCAACATTTATGAATAATATAAATAGTCACCCCTTGGGCAGATGTAACAATTCAAAAATCATTAATACGATTGTATCTCTTTCTTATTTAATAGTTTTGTATTCTCTCCACATACCACACATTACATATCACACATGGTATCCTAATTTAGCTATCTATCATGCTCCGTAATGAGTACATTAGTACACTATATTTTCTCATCAAACTCACCTTATGCAGTTCAATCATGTAATTAGCTTCTTGATAAACACTTAATTGTACTACTTATGACTGTGCTTGTTTGTAACCAAATTTAACAAACACATATAGTCACGTAGACAAGCTTTTATCAAACAAGCTTATTATTATTATTATTATTATTATTATTATTAGTAGTAGTAGTAGTATTATTATTACTGTTGTTGTTGTTACTATTACTATTACTAGTATTATTATTATTATTATTATTATTTTTATTATTATTATTATTATTTTTGGAACCAATTATTATTATTAATCAATGGAATAAAAAGTGATTTCACCAAAGCTATGTTAGCACCCTACAGATCTCTGCATTCAACGGTTGGGATTGGGGAACGAGTCCCGGGGGTAATAAACAGAATTGGTCAAAGCCAGTGCTACTCCCATTTCCATGCCTTCTTTTAAGCTCTTGGCGCCATATACCCCCACCCCCCCTTTTCCTGTGTTTAACACCAAATCAACTCCATCCACCCTCCTTCATCCATGGACGACGATGAAAGGCCCGGAAACGCCCAGAATGTGGGCCCCGGAGCGAGCCCCGAAGAGAACAGCAGCAGCGCCTGCTCCAAAATCAGCAACAAGGAACAGGACAAGTTCCTCCCCATCGCCAATGTCGGCCGGATCATGAAGAAGGTCGTCCCTCCCGCCGGGAAGATCTCCAAGGACGCCAAGGAATGCGTCCAGGAGTGCGTGTCGGAGTTCATCAGCTTCGTCACCGGCGAGGCCTCCGACAAGTGCCAGCGCGAGAAGCGGAAGACGATCAACGGCGACGACATCCTCTGGGCCATCACCACCCTCGGATTCGAGGATTACGTCGGCCCTCTCAAAATGTACCTCAATAAGTACAGGGAGCTGGAAGGGGAGAGGCTCAATCTCCCCAAACAGCAGCAGCAGCAAAACGGCGCCGTTGAGCACCAAAACCCGCTAAATTTGGGCCCGATTTATAACCCTAGCACTGTGTACCCGGCGGCGTCTTCTAACCCGGGGCTTATCCCCCACCACTCCCCGTACGTTTCCGCCCCGCCGTCGGAGCAGCATCTTCAGCCCTACCTGAACTTGCCTTTTCCGGCGACTCACCAGAACGCCGCCGCTATTCAGGCGCAGTTCACTGCTCAACAAGAACACATCGACTCTGTAGGCCATTGGCAATGATTAACACATACGTCGTGGGATGGCCTGTTATCCGTCAATTTTCCACATTTAATTTTTCCTTTTTGCCCGTTTTTATTTCCCATGTTTGTTTATTATTATATCTGCAGAAATGAATATATATCGGCAGAAACATTTTTGAATATGTAATATACCCTTCGTGTAGCCAAAACAAAATAAGCCAGATTATATTACGAAGAGAACATGTACGTACACAATACACATATATAGTGCCAAACGAACTTTGATACTCACTATGTTTTTGGTCATTCAGAATTAAATTTTTGTTGTGCAATAAATTTAAGGTTAAAGAGTCAAATAGAAATAGGCTCTTGTACTGGTTTTTAATATTCAATTTGCCTACTGATCTGAAAAAAGCTTCAATTGATATCCTAAACTGGATAAAAGTTTCAAATTTGACAATTTACATATAATTATTCGGTCAACGTTACGTCATCAGGTCATGTGTCAAAAGTACATCTGAGGTGACCACTCAAGGGATCAAATAAGCTCTTGAATCTAACCAAATTGTTCAATTCATCCCCTCAAACATTAAAAAGTGTCAAAATTACAAAAAAAATAAAAAATAAAAGAAAAACTTTTTGCAAACTTAATTAATGTTGTGCATGCGCACAACCCCACAAGTATGGGTCTTCCGGACATGACTTCAAGTCACAAAGAAAAAGCTCAAAATACAAACCCACCTTTGTTTATAGGGAAGATGATTTTTGAGTAGGTAAAAAATTACTCCCATCGTCCCATAAAATTCTTCTCACTTTCATTTTTGGATCGCTCCAAAAAATGTTTCTCACTTACCATTTTTGGACAATTTATGTGGTTTCACATTCCTTTCACCTTTTTCTTACACAACCACAACCATACATTTCCACTTTATTCCACTTTCTTAATCTATGTGTCAAGTCAAAGTTGGAAGAATTTTATGGCACAGATGTAGTATTTTTACTAAACGTTAGTCGGTAAATCTTTTACATTTATATTATAGAATAAAATAATTCAAATATCCCAAACTTTGAAAAGGTGTGATGTAAACACTTCAAACTTACATATATGATATAAATATCACGAACTTTATATAAAAACTTATGTTATCACCATGATCATATGATTTTTCTTTCACAAATGTAAAATGACATTATTAAGTTAACAATTTAAAATATTTAGCATTCATGAGGATACAATTAACCTTCAATTCTAAACGTAGATTATAAAATAAATAATATTACCCGGGTTTAAATATTAATTTCACTTTCATAAATGATAAACATATTTAAATCATTCATTTAACACCATAAATTTTCATTTGCGAAAGAAACTATATATGGTCATGGGATCATGGTGCTATGATAACTTTTGTATAAAGTTCTGATATATATATTACACATGCATAGAAATTTAAGGTACTTATCTCACACTCATTCAAAGTTGGGGTATTTAAATTAGTTTCTCTTATATTATAGATTATTTATTATAGTGTGTTGTTACATATGTTTTCACACATTATTTTGTGTGATCACTCTTACATGTTTTATATGTCGGACGAACATTGGAAAAAGTTCACATTAAGGGAGAATGATCTAACTTTGACTATAATTTTGTTTTTGCTTGTTAAATATTCGATAAATGTTTTATTTTAATATTAACCAATACACTACTTGAGCGATCCACAAGATATATACGGACTATGAGGTTTTTAGTATTTTTATTTCATAATTTAGAAAATGAAGAAATGGAAATACAATAACACATTGGTTGTGGTTAAATAAATTTGTTTTGTTCTGTTTTGGAAAAAAGTGCAACTTAAATTAGAATCCAGTTTTTATTTTTGTGATCATTATCTCAATAGCAGTACTATAGCTGCTAATAAAAATTGAGTAGATTGTAGACATGTGGAATAGATTAAGAATTCGTCAGTATGAGTTTTTGTAATTCTCTTACAGTGAATATAATTACGGATAAAACATATTAGGAATGAGTGGATGACAACATTAATTAAGATCATATGTTAGGTATAGGTAGAATTCATGAGTACTGGATGACAATTCAACATTAATAAAGATTTTTTTTTGTCCCGAGATTCACTGACAAAAAAACATTCAGAGAGCTTTTTTGGGTAAGCTTTTTTGCGTTTTAAACACATATCATTTTTGGTTTTAAAAAACATGTATCGTTTTTTTGAATAAAAAACACATTTAAAACAAAAAATAATGTCGATTCGTTTAAAAGGGGAAAAAATCATACTTCCAGTATAAAACGTATTTTTTCGTATTTTATACAACAAAATAGAAACATGAACTCATTGATTGAATGAATGCATTAAATGCATAGAAGATCAACGATAATTTAAAAGCAAAAGGAGAACCTCCTCCTAGTGAACTCGTGCTTTTGTATTGTTACAATACAATTAAGGATATACCAAACTACTACTAAATTTAGTCGCATGACGGCTAAAGCTAGAATTCTAAAAGTCTAACACTTAAAATACTACTAGATTTCTAGTGTTTTTCCAAACAAGCATATCAAAATTAAGGGTTTTATAAATCTGACATGTATAGTATAAACTGTTCTCATACAGAGTATGTCATTCGCCATCTTGATGAAAATGGTGAATTTAACTTGAATGTTATTTGATGATCGTATAAAAATAATGGTTTAAATTAGCCTCATTCTATTGTTATTATTATTCCTTATTTTGTTGACATTAATTTTGCAGAATTATGTCTTGAACTTATTTATTACTTTTATTTTTGTCACCGACTTATGCAACTACGAATTATTCTTGTATGTATTAATGAGTTTTGCTACTTGAATATGTATATACTTTTATTTATTTTTAATATATCTGTTACTTTGTGAAGTGTATATAATTATAAGGTTCAAAATAATACACGTATTTTTGTCCCAACTTTTGTAACAGATGCCGTATCATACACGTATACGATGTATTTTCACGTTTTTTAAAAGCCAACGTTTTTTCGACAAATTTTTGACCATTTTTTTTCATTAATGCTACCGAGTATAATGTGCACGTACTAAACCTCGTTTAGTTCTCGGCTAACTAGGGTAGATATAAGGGTGAATACAAAAAAGCAAAAACGAACTATTAATGTTACGTTTTGATACGGAGTAGTTTTTTGCGAAATTCCGGATCCCTATCTGGCGAATAAGGAATCCTATATATATAATCCGTCTACACGAAGGATGGAAAATACGATCTCTCTGCAGTAGTTCGATCATCTCCATCTGGTAACTTTTTGTTTTGAAATAATTGGTAATTGTAATTGCTCTCATCTTTCAGCCCTATATATGCGTTCGATCATGACTTGTATTTGAATGGTATAGGTATTATGGACTCCCACCATGAAGCTTATGATGAAGCAACAAGGGCTAGTGGTGTAAGTAATTAAATTCCTCGTTATGTGCATATATACATCATAGATTTATGTTTTCATCTTGACAAACCAACCTCCAGAATGCCTTTCTAGCTAGGGAATATATACGCTTTGGTGACTGAGTCACCGTGATTTACTCTCCCACCATCCTGTCGGGTCGGGACGAGGGACCCTTGGGGTTGGGGATTCAACCTTTTTTTTTGGACGTAGCTAGGGAATATATACGTTGCAAACTAAATAACTCCAAATTTTTGAATAATTACTTTGAAGTTTGTTACTTGGGCAACAAATTCTTTTTAAAGAAGCCAAAGATTAATGAGTTTATAATTCTAATGCAGGAAAAAGATTTATGTTTTGCTTTTAATTCGCATTACCTCAAAACTATATAACTGGTGTGTATGGTGTCTAATAATATTGCTCGATATTTTACAACACCAAATATTTTTTATCTATTAACGATAATTAAATTGAACATAAAAAGAATACTACTTCCGTCCTTTACAAATTTGCCAAGTTTGACCGGCATTGAGAATAATAAAGTAAAAATTGTGTGATTGAGTTTTGTGCAAAGAAAAGAGAAATAACAAGAATCACAAAATAATTTATTAAAAGGGAAAGTGCGAAAGTTTTTTGGGACGTCCCAAATAGGAAAGGTGTCGATGTTTTAAGGGACGGAAGGAGTATGATTCATTTAATTTTATAGAATAAGTATCAAGTCTTAAATCAATGAGTTGCTCTATACTTTATTTGTCCAAGCCAAGATCAACTATTTTAGATTTTCTCCTTTTACACCTACTATTAGTGTTAAGTTATGTATCACTGTAAGATACTTTTGAAAATTAAAAGTTAAGCCGTTAAAGGGCAAACACATACTCCCATTTGCAAAGTCAATATTTTTTGTCAATCAATATTAAAGTTTAATCTTTTCTATTGATAATTAATTCAACATTTAATAATTAAAATTTACATATTCAGAAAATACATTAAAATTTCTTGAAAATTGCAAACTCTAAATTAGGATATAATTAAAATTTGACATCCTAATTAAGTGAATAAAATTAAACTGTTTGACCAAGAAAAGTCATCCCCGCAATTGAAAATGAAAGAAAACTAGAAAACACTGCTGCACAGGGTCTGTTCCCACTTTTGAGAAAGAAACACTAGAAAACTTTCTACGTTTTTGCTTTTTCTGTTCAAAAAGATTGTAAATTGTCACAAAGTTTCCGTTTTCTAATGCACCATAATGTCTAGAGTGAATGAGATTCCAAAGATAACGACCCTGCATTTCAGGAGCTTGTAGAGAAAAATCCTTCAAGTGCAGTTAAAGCTCTTGTAAATTCCCCTGTGATCGCCAAGTATGCCTTTTTCCTTCTCATTTAATGTCTTACGCAATCATTCAAGTACTATCTTCATGTAATACAATATATATTTGTGTGTGCTTGGAATTCCATGTGTTTGTTGCAGCAACTTTACTGCCCTTGTTGACAACGAAATGAGTCCAGACTCGATGAGAGTGGTTTACAACCTCACACAAGCTGACAATGTCAAACTGCCGACTGAATTCATACGTTCGTGCATCACTAAGAGTATCTCATGGTGTAAGAACATCAAGGTCGCCTGCTGCTCCTCTCATCTCATCTTCTCATTAGTTACGATCTATATATGTTGCATGGAAACACGAAAATCATAAGGAAATGGGAAACAGGAAACATACATTTTCCCGAGAGTTTCTGTGCTACATAGGTTACGATGTATGCATAATTGGTGTGAGGACTTGTTGCTAGCATGTTTTTATTGCCTTAGCCTGATGGACTACCAAGTGTTTCCTTTGTGTTGCATTTTAAGTATGGATCTTTTTCTTTTGCTACATTTCAATTGTTCAGGATGACGAGTCTGGTCAGAAGAGACGGGCAAGGCTTGTCTGTGTCTTCATTCAGAACTTGATCGAGAAGGACAGTTCTATTGTTGGTAAGTACTGTGCTCATACTCAGTCTTACACATGATTGAACTAATTAACTCGTTTATATTCCTTCTTTGTTGAAAACAATACTCATTTGAGGTTTCTTATTTTTCTTCTATTAAAGTTACTCCCAAAAAGATTGATACATTTTGACTTTTCTTGGTCAATGATGGTTAAGTTTGACCAATGATATCTTTTAATACAAAATTATTTAAACTATGAAAATTATATTAGCATATTCTTTATTAAAAAATCTTACATAAAAGTATAAAATTTATAAATTACAAACAAATATAATACCTAAAATCATTGTCTAAACTTTACCACCATTGACCAAGAAAAGTCAAAATGTATCAATCTTTTTGGGACGGAGGTAGTAGAATTTTCATACTCATATACTGACATATACTGCATTAGATATAGGAGTATTATACCAACTCCAATAATATATGTGTGGTTAAAGAGTAGAGATATTGCAGTCATGGTTTCTGGAATGCGGTTCTGGGCTTTAAAGTAAATTAATGCCGTGATGTTTGATTACTTTTGCAGATAGAGAACTCTTGAATGAAGTCCGATCATTTTGTATGCAGTTCTCAGGGACTATCGAGGCTGATACGCTCTTGCGGTTGCTTGGAACATTGCGGAATAATAATAATAATAATCCTGCACGCAGAGACCAGCTTTGTGCTCAATGACAATTTACCAGAATTGGTTACATGTCAAGTAGCATTGACCTTTATTTCATACTACCTCCGTCCCAAAAAGAGTCGCACATTTGACTTTTCTTAGTCAAACAGTCTTGTTTTGAACGTACTCCCTCCATTCCACAATGATGTTCCCATGTTGACTACCATATATTTATGCAAGATAATATATTGTTTTGACTTTTTGAACATACTCTTATTTTCATGTCGTCAAATCATGCAAAAAATAGGATAAAAGCTAGAGTATTAGTGGCATTTCCTATGAAAAACTTTCTTTTAGAAAGTGATAACTCCTTTTTAGGTAAATTGATGGCAAGGCCATCTACTACTCCCCCAACTGGGAGTCAATCTTCCAAAATAGTCTCAAGCCACCGGTCACTTATTGCTCTATTACTCCATATATAAAAAGTAAATAAATAGAAATTAATCCATTTAGGACTAAAACTATGGCAAAAACTCAAAATAGGATTTACTATGTTTTTTTTTTCAAAATAGGACCATATTAATCTTATTGGAAACATACCTATTTTTGCATTCCATTCTTACCCTTCCATTAAATATGAGTTAATTAAATATTTAATTCATAATAAATTCTAAAAAATTCAAAAAACCGTAGAAAAATAATTAAATAAATTATAAAATATTTATAAAATAAAAAATTATTTTTTTTATTTTTTAAAAAAATTAATAAAAACAGTACACTCCATAAAAAATTAAAAAAAATATGGATGCCTTTCCCACTGCCTGTACAATCTCCCTGCACCACTATCTCCGGTTGGTGAAAAAAATGCCATTTTTCTTAAAAACTGCCATTTTTTTCTGAAAATGCCAAAAACATGGCATATTTCTCTTTGAGAATGCCAATGTTTTCATTATTTTCTGCCATAAATATGACATTCGTAATGAATTTGACATTTTTTCCCTGGTGACTGGAGGTAGTGGTGCAGAGGCGGTAGAGGCGGCGGTGAATTTTATTTTATTTTTTTGAGTTTTTTATTTTTATTTTTTTTTGAAAAAAATATATAAATAAATTATTATTATCGAAATATTTTTATTAATTTTTTAGTATTTTTTACGAATTATTATTTTTTATTTTTTTATTATGAATTAAAACATTTCAATAGCTATAAGGGTATATTTGTCCAAGACACACATAATTAGTCCTATGAAAATATAGTTTATTTGTTGGTCTTATTGGTGCAAAGTGAGTCACTTTTAGTACTCGATAATTAACCCTAAATAAAACAACCATTGACCCTCTGACTTTCATCAGATTATTTAAAATGAATGCTATTCAAATGCTCATTGGGATGTTCCATTGCTATCCACTAGGCCAATCTGATTTGGGAAGAGTGATATAAGGCCTAAAGATTGTTTCTTTGTCTGAATTTTTCCTATATTTTATCATGTTGTTACATTCAAGTTCCTCTAAACATTTGAGCTGAGCTAACTTGGGGCAAAGAATGTTTTACTTTTGAAAATGATGTTTAAAGAATAGTTATTTTTATGGTTTTTGCATTCATTTTTACTAATTTCAGTCTCACATTCCTCGCGACCATATCACACTTGACAAAACTAAACAAACTAGACAAGAACATATTTTCCAGGACTAGTCTTAAAATAATTGTAAAAGAATAAAATATACATGATGCTAGATCAATTCAGAACAAACGAGTTTTGACTTCTGGGCAATTGGGTAGGAGGTGGGCTGCGGGGGGAGGGCAAAAGCGGGATAGAGTTATAGAGATTGAAAGGAGAGGAATTTTGAATTAACTAAATAAAGGTTAGTCATATTTTGGGGGAAAAGGAAAAGTAGTCCTTTTTGTATTTCAAAAATCAAGAGGTAATATTTTGTCCTTTTTTCTTAGAATTAACTAAATATATTTGGATCTCCAAATATATTTAGCCTAAATATACTTAGCCTAATATAATGCAACACTTTTACACCGTAAGAAAATCAGATAAAGAAACTATAATTAGCTAAATATACCTCAGCACCTTTGGACAAAGAAATAATAAGCAAAAGTTTTGGTCCGGATCTCTTAAATTCAATATTGTACCCTAAGATAGGAATGGGCATAAAAACCGAATCGGCTCGTAATGGTACCGAACCAAATATCGGGTATTTAAATAGTTTTATAGATTTTTATCCCTAACTGAAACCGTACCGTTTGAAACGGGTACGGGACCAGTCCTAGATTTTGAGAATTGAAAAATACCGGACCGGACCGTTCAAAAATAATGTATTTGAGGTTTTTATATTTTTCCATACAAAATAAATTTCTTTTACAGACCACCAATTTTATAGCCCAAGTGGGTAAATATGTGTGTTTATATAAATCAAAATTTTGCTTTTCTTTTTAGATAATTTATGTTATATCTTGGTATATATTGAAAGAATGTCAAAGTTTTAAACATCATTAATGAATATTAATTTATAGTAATAATGTAGTGTATATGACTTTTTGTTGTATCATATTTGTGCAGTTTTATAATTTAATTAATATGTAGTATGGTTTAAATTTTAGCTCTCACGGTTCAAATATAAATCAAATTAGAACTAATATTTAACCTAAAATAAAGAAGAAGAATATTGAAATTTTCTATTATATACAACAATTTAATAATGTTGTTTTTATATTTCACATTAATTTAATAAATTAAAGATGTTATTTATAAGTGTATCATGCATCATTTTGATATATTCTTTCTCAATTGTGTTACACTCGTTGAGTATTTTTGAATTTAAATATAAAAAATGTCAGCTTCTTTTCTAATAAATCTAATAAAAGTATGAAACTTTTATGAAAATCTTATATACAATGGAAAATTAACGTATTACGTATTAGACTGTTTAAAGCACGTCTACATTTTGATATCAGAATTCAGCACTCCTGATTACTACATTATAACTTGATTTTTCATATTAGATGCTAGCAATTTTAAACTGGAGCACTCAAGATTGTCTTTTATATTCCCTCCGTCCCGATGAACTTTGCCAAGTGTAAAGTAGGTGAGGAATAAGAAAAGTAAAAACTGTGTGATTGAGATTTGTGCAGAGGAGAAAGAAATGCGCAGAACCACAAATTAGTTACTTTATTAGAAAAGTGACAAAGTTTTTAGGACAACTAAAAAAGGAAAATTGGGAAAGTCCAATGGGACAGAGAGACTATATGATTTTCACTTATATGGTGTGGATTTAATTAGTAGGTGCTTTTGTGATTGGTTTGAGTTTTTTTGTTTTTCGACCGGCACGTTACGTTCAGGGCTTCGATGTTCCAAACTTTCCTTATAACATTGTGATAGAGGGGCAAATAGTTCCACTGATGGTTGCAGATTCTGAGTGCATGCGTGAAGAAGGTGTTTGTGTGTCTCGGAAAAATGAAGAAATTAATTAATTAAAATTAACAAAATAGCTAAAGAAAAACATAAAATAAGATGGAACCGAAATTAGTCAAAGCTCATGCTACGCACGATGTCCTTAAAACGTATTCGTTATCTCCCTATGTGCTAGTAGTGCTTCTGCACTGGGCCTACAAATAATTAAGAAATATTCTTCATTAAGTCTAGTCTATCCACACAAAAATTCAGCTAAAAATTCAATCAGTAAGGTCGTCAAATAATTTTTGGAAGTTAACTGCGTTTTATATGTATATTTTGGCGCAGTTATCTTCCAAAAATGATTTTTGAGTACCTTATCGATTGAACTTTTAGCTGATTTTTTGTGTGGATGAACTAGACTTGTTGGAAAACACTCCATAAAACTTTAATATAAAAAATTCACCGGGAACGTCTCCAAATGCCGCAGTCCGGATGGCGGTTTTGGCCAAGCCGGAAGAGTACTCTGTAATAGAAATTCAAGAGTTCAACTAAAACATAGTAGTAGTAAAAAAGAATTCAAAGGTCCTTACGTACGTGCATCAAAGCTTGAAAGCCCAAATTTCCATCTCCCAAGCATCAAACCGACAAATCCCACAATAAATTAAAAGAAAGTGGGTTATGCAACAATTCTATCGGCTTATAGTATTCTAGGGTTGGGAAACCGCTAAATCTTCACTCTACAGAGTTTCTGGTCAAGCTTTTCCAATCAATCAAGAAACACAATTGATCCTTTCAGTTATTTTCTTACAATCTTCTGTTCTTCATCTTCATTCTTCTTATATGATTACCTATAGAACATTTTTTGTATAAGCTCTTCAACTTGTAAGAGTATCTAGTCTTATGATACTCCATATTATTAAGATACAATATCAATGTAAGATAACATTTTTCAAGCATTTTGTCCATGACTAGTACTATATAAGGCCTATTTTTTGTAATCAGCACAAGTACCTTATAGACTTAAGACGATTCTGGCTCAAATTGATCATTTAATGCAATTTTAACACATTTTTTCAACAGAAGTTCCAAATATTGCAAGCTTGCAATTGAGTCATATAACAAGCAGCACGTTAGTTCTATGCATCTATATAAATTTCCTTTTTTATGCTTCTTTTTCAATGCCATGATCTTTTGTGTGTTCAATGGCCTTTCTAGCCACAGCTAGAGCTTTTACGTAGGCTTTTTGCCTTCTAAATGTGCAGAATACGAACTTTCAATTCACGGAGTTAGTCAAGTGGAATGCAGCGGCCCTTCTAAACTATATTACCTTCAAGGCCATCAATCAGAATTTATTTGGTGGATCGAAAACATTTCAAGCTAAAATATATGAATATCCCGGCAAAAATGAACTTAGCATATGAGAAAGGACAATACGGGGTTTGACGGTTACTGATGGTAAGAGATTTCCAACGATTATTTAATGTGGTTTATTACATCAAATATTGTGAAAATAAGTGAAATAATTACAAATGCATAGTTAAAATAAATGTAGTTTACAAAAATGTGATTAATGACTAGAGTAGTAATTTAGTTATAGTAACTAATATTCAATTTTACACGTAAGTGACTATAAAATTATAGTGTAATAACTATTAGTCACACTTTTGCACATAAGTTTTATTTTAGTAATATATTTAAAAAAACTCTTATTTAATTACGTCTTAATTCTTTAACTAAACTTTTATTTTTAGATACATGTAAATCAAAATATATATTTTTTAATTTTATCCAATTTGCACGACCATGAAAGCTTTGTATAGAATTAGTTTTCAATCAAATAGTTCTAATATTGACTATTGATAAAATCGG